CCAGCTTACTTTTTTTCGAACAACCCTTTCTTTCCCTCTTCCCCCCTCCCCCCTCCTTACCCCTTTCCTCCATCATTTTCTACATCCTCTTGATTTTGCTTCCTTCAAATCTCAGCCTTTTTAATAATTGTTGTTGCTTGATTGTTAGTTTAACCCCTTTGGGCCGAAAAGTATTTTCATCATAATTTCATGCCATCGCTACCATTGCATTGTGCTTCAGTACGTTTCCTTCCACTCCCTTCCCTACTATTTCATTTCATTTCACTTAAAAAAAATCACTGCAGAAAACCCACAATACAATTACTGCGATTTCCGATGAAAGTAAAGTACGTCTCAGACTCGAAAGTGATTTAAATTTGGCAAAATTGGCCATTCCTTGCCCTAAATTAAAAATTAAAAAAAAAAAAAACCATGCACTGATAATAATAATTACCTTTTTGCAAGCTCAGTTTCGACAGACGCATCCACTTTGGCTAAAGGTACTGTGAGCTTCTTGGCGGCTTTCGCATATTCTGGTGCCAGTTCTTTGCAATGCAAACACCTGCAATCGAAGACTGATAATGGAATAAACCATAAGACCAATAATGCCCGAATAATCGACTCAGTGTTCCCATAGCGGTTAGTAATGTCACTAGGACCCAGCTGTGCGAAGCCCTTCGATCCTGAGCTGCTTACCTTCGGTCAGTACCTATTGCCTGTTTTCCATACGTATGTTACCTCTTCGGAAGCTGTCCAAGTAGTGTATCTGTTTATTATTTTGTTATATTTTTACCTATTTCAAGTATCCAGCATCTTATTTTGTTTCCGCTTTAATCATTTATCTGACCTGTTTAGTTGATATTTTTTTTAATACGTACATTCAGTACTTTATTGTCGCCATAAATGACAGAGGCCTGAGATATAGGGTAATAAAAATCCACACCGATTTAATGGAATTCACAAAATCAAAGTCAAAAGTCAAAACCCTCCCTAAGTTCACTCTGTATGAGAAGCCGAGGCAACTGGGAGGATCTGAAGATTGCAAATTCCAACAGCAATTTCCCAGTGGCAAGGCAGTTGATGGATCCCCCACTTCACGGCTGCTTAGAATCAAATTGATAGAGCCGGTATTAACAAAAAACAACGATTTAGGCCGGCAACTGAGCAAATTTTACATATCAATAATAGCAAGGACAATAAAAAAAAAATCATTCCAGCAATACTCAAACAAGACGATGCTTGTACACAGCGAAGAGTGCATTCTGCACAGAAACAGCTCAGAAGAGGTTTTCATGCGATTGCATATCAGGAAACTGGAAGATTTCTATTTAGGCAATTTTAAGAACTCAAAAAATCTGAGAAATCTCTACGATGTTATAATAAGACGTTGGAAAGATCCGTTTGTATTTAACAGTTGCTATTTTTGAATAAAAATTTTGCCATGCGCTGCACAAAAATATCAAACTTTGAGCGTCAAGATAGCCTACGAGACTCAAAAATGAGGAGCTTACGAAGAATGACTTTGAGACCGCGCGGCTCGGAAACAGCCCTAATTTTATTACCAAAATCTTGCGCAATGGCAAAGGTACGGGATAAAAATAACTCTTACCAGGGTGCATAGAATTCGACCAACACTGTGGGATGTTTTCGCAGAAACGAATCGAAATTCCTTTCATTTAGCACATATACGCCATCGTCGTCTCGTTCCACCTCCCCATCGGCTTCCTCCAACTCCGCGCATGTACACTCGAACAGCAACAGCAGCAGCAGCGCAAGCCATATCCTCAGCAACATCGCTGACAAACCTGCTGCAACAGAATCGAG